CACATGCCCACTTGTGCAATAGTGGCATGACTGCTATGGCCCAACCACTTTCTGATTGACTTTGAGGTCTGCGGTCAAGAAGTCCTAGCTGGGGAGCTCCCAGGCCCTAACGGAATAGCTACTACTGTAGATTTCTTGAATGGGTGTGTTGTCAAAGTGCCTTCTTAACTTTTTATGTCCACATATTAGTGCTACTCTCAGTTTTGATGAGAGAAGCTTCTTTAACGGTGGGCAAAGTCACTGCAGAGACTTGTAACTAGTTAAGGTGCTGAGAATAAGTGGCTGTTAAACACCCAGCCCGAAATGGAACATCTGTGTCAATCCTTTGAAGGCTTAGGGAAGAGGAGGGGGAAAGGCTGTGTGGGCCCAGGAAGGGGTGGCTGCTGTGAAATGCTGTTTTCCAGGCATGGCAGGGCCGTTGCACCCCTGAACTCACAGCAGCGCTGATTAGCTGACAAGACTAGGACAGTCAGTGCTCAGTCATAAATGGGAGAGGAGATCACGAGGCTCCATTCTTTTCCAGTATTGGCAGTTAATGGTTCCTGGAGGAGGTGGAGACATTTTCTTCAGTGGTGTAACCACTGTACGTTTCCTATGCTCCTGTAAATAACCCCTCACCCTTGGGGCACACACACACACACACACACACAGCCATGGAATCAGAAGGAAGACTGGTGGGGAAGAGGACAGGAATCAGTGTGAATGGGAAGGTGACAAGGGAGGGTAATGGATATGAATATACTCAAGTACATAAAACACACCTATGTTTCATGGCAGTGTCATAATTAAAACCTGTTATCATGTACAGCTAATATGTATTATAAAAAGATTAGCTATCATGCCCAGGGAGCCTTCCACCAGTCTCTGGAGGGAGGTCCATGTCCCCTCACACTGGAGCCAAGGCACTCAGCAAGGAGTCCCAGAACAAGGTCACTGCTTACTCTAAGGGCTGGGCTCTATCTTCCTCCTTAAACAGGCTGTTTCTGAGCAGGGGCATTTCCTCTGAAGTGTGGAACTCTGTCTTCTTCTTCTAGTTTTAGGTGTTCAGGATTGCTTTATGGCCTGATCAGGCTTGAAATCCTGGGGCGTCACAGTCTCTTGTTTCAGACTGAGGTTGCCCAGGGCAGAGATGCACCTTTCTGAGTCTAAGAGATGAGCTGAGTCTTCTAGTTGGAATTCCTTGAGGCTTTTGCCTTGTGCTTGAAGATAGGCATGTTATAGACAGGTAGAGCTCCAGAAATGGGCTCCTAAACATTATCATTCTTGCTTCCTTTTCAAGAAGATTTAACTTATTTCTAGATTGAGTATAGCTGTGCATGTGTATCTGTGTTTTTGAGTTAGTACACAGAGAGATCAAAAGCATCTGACCCCCTGGAGATGAAATTACAGACAGTTGTGAGCCCCCTGATGTGGCTGCTTGGAAATAAAGCCCCAGGGGAGCAGTACCTGCTCTAACCACTGAGTGCTCTCCAGAGCTTTGAATTAAGTTGACCAAAGGCTAAGTGGCATCCTGCTTGGAAGGCGGCAGTTGTGGGTCAGAGCACCCACCACTTTCTCAGCTTCACGGTCGTCCACTTCCTCTTTACTAAGCCTTCAAATGGTTGACGCAGAACCTTCTTGGAAATAAGTTTGGTTTGTTCTTATTTCAGATTAGAGAATCATTACTTGTAGGACATATTTGTTTGAACTTTATGAATCATAAAGAAAGCAAAAATGAACCGAGAGATCAAGAGTGCAGATGGAGCCCAACATGGTGGCACACGCCTTTAATTCCAGCACTCGGAAAGCCGAGGCAGGTGAATACCTGCGAGTTTGATGCCAACCTGGTCCACATAGTGAGCTCTAGGCCAGCAAAGGACTACACAGTGAGGCTCTGGCTCAAACCAAAACCAAAAGACACAGCAAAAACATCCCAGGGCTCCGGCCCTGAAACGCTACTCTGAGCTCTACAGCCTTTCCTTCTGTGTTGTCCTCTTCTCCTTTCTCCTTCTTTCCTCCTGTACATTCCACCATCATTTTCCTTCCTTTTTTTTCCAACACCTGGAGCCCAGATTAACCTCAATCCCACCACAGCCACTTTTCCCTCCAAGCATAAAGCCACATCCTTAGAATTACAACAGTAATTAAAGGGTCTGAGGAAGCCTTGAGTTAGCTCAGATGTGTTGGCTCAGAGCTGGAAATGTCTGAGCCTGAGCCTCGGCACACTTCATTTTCCTGTCTCTGGTTTCCACAGGAAACTGGCTTTGCTCTCACAGAGCAGGGGAAGCACCACAAACGTCTTCACATCTTGTTATTTTTATTTATTTATTTATTTAGGTTCTTTAGATTTCTAGTTTCATCTTTCTTTTTAAATTATGTTTCTGAGTGCGTCTCTGTGTGAGTATTTGCACATGTGTTAGGTACCCATAGAGATCAGGGACATTGGATCTGCCAGAGCTGGAGTTACAGGTGGTTGCGGGCTATCCAACATGGATGCTGGGAATCAAAGTTGGGGCCTTGGCCAGGGCTGTCTGTGTTCTTACCCACTGAGCCATATTTTTTTTTTGAGCTATCCCTGTTGGATTGAAACTTGCTGTGACCATGTTGGCTTTGATATCTCACCTCTTTTCATCACACAGCATTTTGCTGTGTCACTTGCCATGTTAAAAAGATCGTGGCAAAATATGTAAATACGTAAATAATTTACCATCTAAGGAAGCAGTTAAGCAGGGCTGAGGACATCCATCATGGCGGCAATGGCCACCACCATCCACTTTCCAGAATTCTTTCATGACCCTAAACACAAACTTCATTCCTTAAATACCAAGTTTTTAATAAACAAAAAGCAAAACAACAACAGCCAGCTCCTCATTTTGCCTCCTCTGACCCTCTGGAAGCCTCTTGGTTTTGTTCTGTGGATTTACCTGGTTACCCTGAACCACAGTCCTTTCTGTGAGCTTCCTGCATGTTTGCATCGCCTTTCTTCTGGCTGTGACCACCTGTCTCAGTGGAAGCAGCTTTGGGGAGGAAGGCTTTATTTTGGATCACGGTTTGAGGAGCTACACTCTGTTACGGCAGGGAAGGCATGGAGGAGCAGAAGCGGGTGGTCAGATCATGTGATAGCTCTGTTTAACGTTCTGAGGGACTACTGAACCATTTTTCAACTAGCTGAGCCGCTGTGTCTTTCCAGCAGCAGTGCATGAAGGTTATGCTTTTTCCACATACTCCCCCAATGCTTGTTAAGTTCCATCGTAGAAATTTTTGACATCCTATTTATAATGGTTGGTGTTTGCCAACTTGACGGAAACTGGAGTCATTTAGAAGTAAGGAGCTTCCACTGAGGACTTGCTCCCATTAGGCTGGCTGGTGGGCACGTCTATGGGAAGTTTTCTTGACTGATGATGGGTGTGAAAGGGCCCAGCCCGCTGTGGGTGGTACCACTCCCAGCCAAATGGTCCTGAGTTCTAGAAGAAAGCAAACTGAGCAAGCCATGGGTCGCAAGCCAGTAAGCAGTGTTGCTCCAGGTCTTCTGCTTCAGTTCCCGCCTCCAGGTACCTGGACCTTGAGGTCCTGCCTTGGCTTTCCTTCACGACAGACTACAACTGTATGTTACAGGGTGTGCCGTTGGAATCTTCTAAATTTATCTATTTATTTATTGAGACAGGGTCTCACTCTGCAGCCTTGGCTGGCCTGCAGCTCATTAAAAGTCCTTGTGCCTCAGCCTCTAGGTGCTGGGATTAAAGGCACGTGCCGACACGTGTAGCTAGGCTGCTTAGCTGAGGTTTCGCTGCTGCCCGAGCGTAGCTTAATTCCTGGGCTCAATCAACGCTCCCATCAACCTCCTGAGTGACTGCGCTCACAGGTGTGTGGCACCGCGCTCCCTTTACTGTGCTTTTCGCTAGTGACTTACAGCCTTTTCTTGTGCTTATTGGCTAATTAATTGTATAAATCTTTTAAAGATTTACTTAGTTTTATGTGTGTGGGTACTTTGCCAGCGTGTATATCTATGTATCATATTCATGCCTGGTGCCTGTGGAGGTCAGAAGAGGACATCAGATCCTCTGGAACTACAGTTACATAGATAGTTGTGAGTCACCATTTGGTTGTATGTACTGTTAACTACTGAATCATCTCTCTAGTCCCAACTGTATACCTTTTTTAAGAGAAGTGTTGACTCAAGTTCCTCGTTCACTATTGAATTGGGTTGTCTTTGAATTACAGAAGGTGAATTCCATGTCCTTAACATTAACATCGAATTATAGAAGGAGAATTCCATGTCCTTAACACTAACCTCTCCTCAGACTATGTTTTACAATTATCTTCCATTCTATGGGTTACATTTCCATCCCCCCCCCCTTTGTGTGTGTTGTGCTGTATGTATGTTTGGTGTGTTGTGTGCATGGGTGTGCATGCCCAACCCATGCTCGTGAATTCAGAGGCCAGAGGAGTGTGTGAAGTCACTTCCTCCATCACTCTATGCCTTGTTCCTCTGGGACAGGGTTTCTCTCTGAACCTGGAGCTGGCTGTTGGACTAGGCTGGCCAGTGAGCTTTAGGGATCTTCCTGTCTCTGCCACACAGCTTTGGGGTTACAGGCAGGTGTGGCCGTGTCTGTTTTATATGGGTGTTTGGGATTCAGACTTAGGTCTTCATGCTTACACAACAATCTCCCCAGTCTCTGTTTTCACTCTCCAGTCACCCGAATGCATCTGGGGATGTTATTCTCCCCTGAACATGAGGACTTACGCCTTCTGCTTTTTGAGAATAGTATGTAGGAGGTCCCTATGCACTACCAGCCAGACTCCTTCCTCTCTGTTCCTTTCAAGTGTTCAACAACTCAAGCCCAAGAAGAAGAGTATGAAGAGACAGCAGTAGAAAAGGTATCCACCATTGACTGAGGAAACAGAATGAGACCTGTTTTGAGTCCCTGGATTCAAGAAAGCAAGGCCTATTAACCTACATGACAACATGGATGAACTTGCAAAGAGCTGTGTTAAGTGAAAAGAACCAGTCACAGACCATAAATCATTGAATTTTTATGAAATGGCTAGAGTAGGCAAATCTATTGAGCCAAAAACTAGGTTAGCATGTGGTGGGACAAGTTAGGAGGGATGGCCATAAGTCTTAATGGGTATGGGTAAAGGGGAGGCATGATAGACAATATGCTAAAATTGCTTGGAGATGAGTTATGTGGTGAAAGAATTGGATTTTAAAATAGCTGTTATTTAAAAAGAAAAGAAAATGATGGCCCCACGGCTGCCTCCTCCCCTGCCACGGCCGTCTTCACTTGGAAAAGCGTGGCCATGCCTGCAAGTGTTTGCAGGATGCAGGCTTCATGGTCAGCCCATAGGAGGGTGTCAGGTCCACCTTCACCCCTGGTGGCACGCTGAACTCCAGCTGCTGCAGCAGGATGGCTAGGAAGAGGAAGACTTCCCACTTGGCTGGGGTCTCCCCAATGCACCGGCGCTTTCCCAAGCCAAAGAGCATCACCTTCTCACTCAGCGTCTTGTTGATAGCTGTGTTGTTATCAGTGAGAAAGCGCTCCGGGCGAAACACGAATGGGTCTTCCCACTGCTTCCTGCAAGAGGAACAGATGGGACCTGAGCTGTGTGGGCTCTGAAAGGAAAGGGTTGCTGTGTTCTCCGGGCTTCTGGGAGAAGCTTTGTGGGAAAGCCTTGTGGGGAAGGTAGCAAACTTAGTGTTTATTTTCTTTTGTTACTGTTCTTTTTGTGTTTGTTTTGAGGCTGGGTCTCATGCATCTAAAGTTGGCCTTGAACGCCAACACCAGGGTCACCTTGTTTGAATTTCTGACCCTTCTACTGCTACCTCCCAAGTGCTGGGATTACAAGCTTGTGCTCTCACACCTGGCGCTTAGGCTTGAACCCAGGGCCTTGTGCACAGTATGTAAGCCCTCGACCAACAGAGCTACACCTCCATCCATATTAATGATTTAAAAAAAATTCTTTCTAAAATGATCAACCTTTAAAGACAGTGGATTTTGAGGGGGAGATGGATCTTAGGGAGAGGGGAAGTAGGAGAGGAGGAAAGGGAGGGAGGGGAACTGCAGTTGGGATATAATATATGAGAGAAGAATAGAAAAGATACTGGATTTTGATCATTTTTTAATTTTTTAAATTATATTTTTGTTTGTTTACTGGTGTGTGTGTGGAGGTCAGAGGACAACTTTTAGGAGTCTCCTTCTACCATGTGGGGCCTGGGGATGAGCTTGGGTTGTTAGGTGTGGCAGCACCTGCTGAACCGTTCCCAGGGTCCAAGACAGTAGGTTTAATATTCATTTGTCTTAGTTCCTTGATGTGGTTCTGGGAACTGAACCTAGGGCCTTCCACATCACATATACTACCAGGAAGCTACAGCTCCAGTTCTAATCTGTTACTTCAAAGAAATAACACTTTATCAAAAGGATAGAAAAGAAAGAAGGAAAGCATGTTTCTCTCCCTTCTGTTCCCAATAGGCCAGTAACGAGGGAGATCACCAGCTGGCTCAGCTTATGTGCATTATTCTGGGCTAAAAGTTGATAATACAAACATGAATGGTGTTCTCATATTCGATATGTTTTGACTTGGATGGATCTCCTACTTACAAATTAGAGTGGACTTTTCCAAGGAAATCAGTAGGCCATCCTCATAAGTCATTTGAGGTATCCACCTTGTGTACCAGACTGGAACCTTGAGGAATCAGAGAAACTTCCCACTCTATAGCTCTTTTCTTCCTTCCTTTCTCCTCCTTCCTTCCTCCCTCCTTCCCTCCCTCACTTCCTCCCTCTTCCTTCCTTCCTTCCTTCCTTCCTTCCTTCCTTCCTTCCTTCCTTCCTTCCTTCCTCTCTCTCTCTCTCTCTCTCTCTCTCTCTCTCTTTCTTTCTTTCTTTCTCTTTGAACAGGTATGGAGCCTAGGTTAGCCTAAAACTTGCCAAGAATCCCAGACTGGCCTTGAACTCACTGTAATCCTCCTGCCTCAGCCTCCTGAGTAGGCTGAATTACAGGCATTTGCCACCTATACCAGATACCTAGTAAGTTCTTTGTACACTGAAGTCTGAGAAACAGGAACTAAGTTTTGTCACTTAGTATAGGGTATCTAGCTCTGAGGTGTTCCTATGTAAACACTTCCCGAAGAGACAGACGGCCTTCCTGATTGTTGAGTGTGCGCCTTTCCCCATGAGGACAATGTACTCACTCATCATGGTTGACCTGCCACTGGTTTATGAAGATACAGCGCTCCTTGGGGATGTGGAAGCCATTCAGTGAGGTGTCCCTCGTTGTGCTAAGGAAAGAAGAGAGCTCTGTCCAGCTCTGGGCTTGGAAAAGCTGAGCTGTGACTTGTTCCTCCCTCTAATCCATCCCAGTGTCTGACTTCCACAGTCTCCAAATCTGGTACGGGGAGGTCATGTGAGGGGTAAGCAATATGGGGCGATTACGCTTCCCTTTTCTGGGATCCTGTTCTTCAACTTCAACACTTGTTTACTAGGACGTCTTTTTGTTCAGATGTGCACGGGGCAGTCTCTGAAGCAAGAAATCAGTGGTTGGGGCTTGCCCTGGGGAAGCTGCAGCCTTTTGTACCAGGAGTAACTAGGCTAAGGTGTGAGCAGAGGTAAATGTTCGCTCTTACAATCAAGGAGCACGGGCTGAGTGTTCTACAAGTCATCGGAGGAGGAAGCTCTACTTGCTGGCTGAGCCAAAAGGAGCTTCTAGATGGGAGGGCACACATGTGTTGGGATTGATTTTGGGCAAGAGTAGAATTTGGGATCCACATAATGGATAGAAGCCTTTCCAGGCAGAAGGTCCAGTTTAGGCAAAGTTGGCAGGTGGCTAGATTACGCTTGTGAGGAGGGTGTGGCTGAAGAAGATGTCAATTGGAGGTGAGTAACTGCTGAGGCCACAGGGGAATGGACCTGGTGGAGGAACAGTATGAAGACTTGGGGGGTGGCTATGGAACAGGGGCATTACCTGTGGGGGATGGTGAAGGGGACGAAGGATATGTATCTGTACATCTCCAGGATGAAGGCCTCTAGGTAGGGCAGCTGGGGCCTGTCAGAAAGCCGTGGTTGCCGATCCCTGCCAATCACTGTGTCTGCAAAGCACAGGTAGAGCTAATGGGATGTTCTGTCTGTTCCACGCATGCGTGTCCCCAATTGTACTAGTGTGACTCTGTCTATGCTGGACTGTGTTTACTCACATTTCTGAGACCCCACAATACGCCCCCAACACCTTATCTGGACACATGGGGCCATATGCCTAGGACTTATACAGAGTAGACACATAAACACGAGTTTGTAGATCAAGTGACCCTGAGCCTCAAGGCTTCTCTGACTTCAGGGTTGAGAGCAGCACATACCCAGTTCCTTATGGATATTCCTCTGTATCTTGGGATGTGTCACAAGTAGCAAAAGGCTCCAGGTGATCGCTGTGGTGATAGTGTCAAATCCTGGGCAGCAGGGAGTAGGGTGAGGGAGAAAAGAAGACGGGGGAAGGAAAACGGTTTTGGTTTTTGTTTTTGTTTTTGTTTTACCAAGCACTGGCATAAATAGAGCAAGCGCTAGCCCTCTCTGGCTCCCATCTCTGTGTATCCTGAGGGAAGGCTGGGTCCTCTACAGAATCTTGGAAGCCAAGCATGATGGCTTATACCTAGAATCCCAACACCACCAGAGAATCTGCGGCAGGAGAATTGCCATAGGTTTGAGGCCAGCTTAGGACAGAGGTGAGGCCTTGTCTCAAACAGAACAAGTCAAAACCAACCAAATCCAAAACCAAACCCAATCAGGCAAAGAAAACCTGATAGATCCTGGTTTCATAATGAGCAGCTGTTGTAGAACTCTCTTGCTTTCCAGGTGGAGAAACCCAGGCTTTAAAAAAGAGAGGGATCTGGCTGAGTTTCTTCTAGGAGTTGGTGGCAAAGTGTGAGGTGACACCTTGATCCTAGGTGTCCGTCCTTTGTTGGTGCAGTTGATGAGTTAGCTGATAGGATGGGCACAGATAAATAGCAGCTGATGGATGGGGGTGGGATATGTGTGTGTTCCTACCAGCTCCGAAGAGGTCATTGACAATGTTGACAATCTTCTCCTGAGGGATGAGACCACCGTTGTCCTTGGAGTTCTCACTGTGCTTGAACAGAGCACTTGTGATGTCCTGGATACTGTCCTAAGAGGAACAAGTTTACGGGGAACGAGTTTACGGGTGCTTCGAGGGACAAACGCCAGACATTGTCCATGCCGTTTGATACGTCCCCAGGGCCTGGGAGCTGCCTCGGCCTCCAGGCTCTGGGCAGGGGCTCAGATTTTTGAATTGGCATCAGCCCTAAATAGAGCATGTGCCCCTGACCATTCTTGCTCATAACCCCCAGGGGTCAGATTTCCCAGGAGGAAGAGGTAGGCGTGAACTCAAGGGAAGAACTGTGACATGAAGCCGGCTTAGGCTTTGCCGAGGTTCATTTCCCTGCAGAGCAGTAAATAGCCTTTGAGCTGTGACACCCCATATTGCTGTGCCAAGGCTCCATTCACACACCTCATCTTTCTGGGACTTGGAACAGGCCCAGAGGGGGGCTATAAGGAAGAAGGAATGGCTTCAGGCCACACAGCTGTGAGTGGCCCGGAGCTTTTCTAGGCCTGGCAGCATATGGCAGTCTGAGTACCGTGCGTTAGGATTGGAGGAGCGTTCTCTGCACCTGTGATGGTGGAGAGTGTACAACCATGCCTCCCAGTCTCACCTTATTGAAGTCTTGATAGTGCTCCTGGACTGTTTTCTGCAGAAACAGCACAAAGTTATCATTGAAGGTCTTAAACCTCTTGAGGGCTGGGTTGGGCAGGTAGCGCAGGATGGGGAAGAAATCCACAGCGTTCCCTGAGGTGACGTTCTCCACAAAGTCACTGCTGCTCTTCACGATGTTCAGCATCTCCTCACTCTGGGGGAAGTTCTTCCCAAAGCACATTGCTCCGATGACGTTAGCCACCGACTCCACCACCTGGCTGACAGGCTCGAAGTGGCCAACCTCTGCCATCAGCTTCTGAAACTTGGTGATTAGACGGTCAGCCTCCTTGCTCACGTGCTCCTCCAAGTAACAAGAAGATGCTGACGTCGGGTCTGAGGCTATGGAGAAACTCTTCAGGGCATCCATGGCCAGGCGCCGACGGGCGGCCCACACTGGTCCAGAGTCTGGATTGAAGGTCATGCTCTTGCCGTTAGTGATGAGTGTGAAGCTGTAGAGGTCTGGCCGGCCCTTGAAGTCATCTCCCTGCCGCACCAGGGCCTGCCGGATGGTGTTGAGCCCGCTCAGCACCACCACAGGTGTGGAGCCAATGCGGATCTGCAGTACATCCCCATACTGTTTGCTCAGTTTTGTCAGTGACAGGTGTGGGTTCTTCCCCAGGGTCAATATGTTCCCAATGAAGGGCCAGCCCCAGGGTCCGGGTGGGCTCTTCAGACCTTTGGGGACCCGGGTTCTTGACACTCTGACCACCCAGAATACTATGCAGAAGATGACAGCGGTCAGGAGCAGCTCTGTGGGTGAGGACAATGCCATCTGTACCAGCTGCGGGAGAAATGGAAAGATGGGGTGGTTCATGATGGAATCTGAGCCTTCCATTTATCCTTTCACTCACTCATTCAGTAAGCACTGACACACATGCTTGGTTTTAAGCTACACATCAGAAAACCCCTGAAGAGATCTCTGGATGCTCCAGGGACTGGCTGGTTTGAGAAAAACTTAAAGCAGGTCATGCCAGGATCTGTCTGGTTTCTTTGACAACTGGGAGCTTCCCAGAATAGAAGTAAGCTAGAGCCTGGTCCAGGGCTACCCAATGCCAGGTGGGTATTCTCTCCCTAACTCTTCACTCTAGGCATCTGTCCTTAGAAAGCTTCAACTGTCCTTGAAGCTACTTAATTAAAGACAGAGGGCCAGTGAGGTGGCTCAGTGGTTAAAAGCACTTTCTGGAAAGCATGACAGCCTGGTTGGATTCCCAGAATCTACATGGTGGAAAGAATTGACTCCTGAAAATGGTCCCCTGACCATACACAAGCTGTGGAATTCTGACAGACAGACAGACAGACACGTATCTACATGGTGTGGGGGAGGTGAGGTTTAAAAAGAGGAACTGAGGTTCAGGGCTGACAAGCAAGAATTAAAACTTCAGCCCTCCTTCAGTTTCCACAGGGTCCACATTTATCCATCTCTAAGAGCGTTTATGAGATAAGCAGATCTCATGGTCTGGAAAAACACACAGACATACCTGAAGGGCAGAGGCTGGAGACTGGCTGAGTTGTGGGAGTCTCTCTGGGCCTTTGGGGTTCCAATGATGGGCCTTTTATAACACCACCCCCTCTGGACTGGCCCAGCCATTCAGGTCACTTGATACCCAAGTTGGATACTGCACAAAGCTGGAAGGATCAATTCTTGGCTTCAAGCCCTGATCCCTCAGCTCCACCTTCTACTCAGGGCTCAGGAACAGATCTTTGGGTCAGAAGTGGCCCTGGGTCCCTGGAGATAAATATCCATGACATTTTAGGAGCTGGGGTATATTTCAGAGTGTGGGGTGTGAAAACTAGGCCTGTGGGTAGGTATAGCACTTTTCCACTGTGCCCATCAGAAAGGGACGTGCCTAGCCTCTAGTCCAGGCCAACCAGGGGCAGATAGGGAAGTGCATTATGCTAGCGACTTTTTCTTGATGTAACAAGCTACCCGAAAACATTAAGTTAATGAAGGAAGGAAGGCTTATTTTGGCTCACAGTTTTAGAGTATGGTCCATCACGGCAGGGGAGTTGCAACAGCAGGAACGTGAGGTCATACTGTAGCTGCAGTTAGGAAGCAGAGAGAGATGAATGCTGGAGCTGGGCTCCTGGTTGTTGTTGTTGTTGTTGTTGTTATTTAACCAGGGGCGGCAGCCCAGGGATGGTGTGGCCCACATTCAGGCTGGGCTTTCCCTCCTCAGTTAACCTTTCAGGAAAGGTATGCTCTGAGGGGCATCTTCTAGGTGACTCTAAATCCCATCAGGATGGCATTGGAGATTTAAACATCACAGATATGTTCTAGCTACCCCAACAGTGTGTGTGTGTGTTTGAACCTACATCCACAAACATACGTGATGAGTACTCTGCCATTGACCTTTGTCTCCACTCCTCTCCCAACCTTTATTTCCTTTAGAATTTTGTCCTCTAAAGGGAGGCTCTCTTGATACCCTCCCTGCTGTGAAAGGTGGTAGGAATTAAAAACCAGGACTTGCTCCCTATGGTAACCTGCCTGGACTCTTCTGAGTCAATGTTAGTGGAGGAAAAACAAACAAACAATGAACCAGATAAGTTCCAGAACCAAGAAACGAAAAAACTGAAAGCAAATACAGGGCTGGGTATGGTGGCATGCACTCCGATCCCAGCACTTTGGAGGCAAAGGTAGATGGATCTCTATAAGTTCAAAACCAGTCTGGTCTACACAGTAAGTTCCAGGTCAGCCAGGGTTACACAGTAAGACCCTAAAATATATAAAATGCAATATGTGAACTTGATTGGATCCTAAATTTAACAAAAAGCAAATTTTAAAGCTATAGAAGACTTTTTAGAGAGATAATTGAGGACTCATAACCATGGCCTGCAGATTAAATGACATTCTCAAATGAATACTAATTTGCTCAGATGTGACATATGTCACGCTAACATGACATCTGAGTTACTGTTCTAATCCTGTGAAAAGACACCATGACCAAGGCAATTATTATAAACTAAAATATCTAATTAAGAGCTCTCTTCCAGTTTTAGAGGGTTAGTCCATGATAACCATAGCAGGAAGCAGGCATGGCCCTGGGGCAGTAACCGAGAGCTTTACATCCTGCTCTGCAGGCAGCAGGGAGAGAGATTAAGATTGGGCCTGGTGTGGGGTCCACCACAAGTGACACACCTCCGTCAACAAGGCCACACCCAACAGTTCTTCCCAAGCAGTTCCACTAACCAGGGACCAAATTTTCAAACGAGCTATGGAGGCCATTCTCATTCAAACCACGTGTGGTAAGATATTCTTGTTCTTTGGAGATTAATGCTGTATGCTTTAGGGATGAAGTGTCATGATGTCTGCGACATTCTTTCAAATGGTTCTGTTAAAAACAAAAAGCCCAGAACCTACACTCTGCAACTGCTGAGATGGCTCAGGGGGTAAAGGTGCTTGCCACAAAGCCTGATGACCTGTACTTGACCCTAGGACCCACATGGTAGGAACGGTATCCTCTGATCTCCACATGTGTGCTTTGGCACATTCACATCTTGGAAAATATGTTCTCTCTCTCATTCTCTCTCTCTCACATGCACACACACACTAGAAAAATACATTTTTAAACCTTAAAAATATATAAGCTGGGTGGTGGCAGCGGTGGCAGCGGCACATGCCTTTAATCTCAGCACTCATGAGGCAGAGGTGGATCTCTGAGAGTTCAAGGCCAGCCTGGTTTACAGACTGAGTTCCAGGACAGCCAGGACTTGGATCCCCAGGACTCACATGGTAGAAGAGGAAACTAGATCCTTCAGGTTGCCCTCTGACCTCCATGTGAGCGCGGCGGTCTCTCTCTCTCTCTCTCTCTCTCTCTCTCTCTCACACACACACACACACACTAAGCTTCAGGGTCAACCTGTACAAGGGTCAAGGATGGGGACACAGAGTGACAAAGCTGGTTTGAAGTCAGCTGGGAGCCAAGCAAACTAGTTCCTGAGTCTTCACTGGGTTCAGCTCACTCAATTAAAAGGGCCAACATGGGAAGAAGGCCAAGTTTTATACAAATTTGTCTTCTCATTGACTAAAGCCCACAGCTTATTTTATTTAGATATCTCCACTCTCTCCCCCCCCACCTTTTTTTTTTTATGAGACAGGGTCTGTTTATGTCCCCTTTGCTGCTCTGAACTCACTGTGTAGACCAGGCTGGTCTCCAACTCACAACGATCTGTTATCTCTTGAATGCTGGGATTAAAAGCGTGTGTCACTATGCCTGACTACTGTTGTGCTTTTTTAAAAAGCACACACAAATATTTCTATGTTATTGTAGACGTGTGTTTTGCCTTCATGTATGTTTATGACTCACATAGGTACAGTGCCCATGGGGGCCAGAAGAGAGCGTTAAGTTCCCCTGGGAGTGGAGTTGTGAGCAGCCAGTGCTCTTAACCCCTGAGCAGTCTCTCCAGATGTCAGTAATTTTTATTCACTGTTCTTTATCTGTTTCAGGATCTTCTTTGGCATGCCAGGTGACATTTAGATGCTGAAACTCTCAGGGTTCTCAAGCTATCTGGTTTGGATGACTTTGATAATTCTCAGGAGTCTGGGTCAAATATTTATAGTACATCTCTCTATTAGATTGGCCTGGAGTTTTTTTTTCTAGCAAGCCTGAGGTTGGGAGTAGTTGGTAGAAGGGTCTCAGAGGTAAAATGACACTAACAATTTCAACCACTGTCTCTGTGACTTTGATCAGTCGGCTGAATAGTGACTGTCAAGTTTCTCCAACGTAAACAGTGTTAGGCAGAGAAGCAAGCAACTTCATCCATTTTAAGTCACTTTTTCCTCACTTTCCATGCTGCACCCTTTGAAAGAAGGCACTGTGCACAGCCTACACCCAAGAAGTGGGGAGTAGCTATACAAATATTTGGACATTTGTCTATGAGAGATCGCTTTTGTTTTCAGAAATTAAACTAAGGAAGAAGTCCAGGGACATAGCTCAGTTGATAAACTTGCCTATCATGCATCAGGACCTGGTTTGATCCCTGGCATTTTGTCAGTGGAGCCTGGTAACATATGCTTGTAAGTTCAGCACTTGGGAGGTGCAGGTAGGAAGGTCAGAAGTTCCAGGTCATCCCTGGATACTTAGGGAGTTTGAGGCCAGCCTGGGCTACATGACAGTGTGTCTCAAAAACAACAAAACAAAACCCTACAATAAAGAAAAGTAACTAGCTCAATGAAATTTTTTTGTTTTATTTTGCTTCTTATTGAGATAGTCTTATTATATATTGCAGTGTCCATACACAACTCCAGGAACTTAAACATGACTGGGGCAGCAAGGGAATGAAGAAAATAAAGACAGACAGACAGACAGACAAACACATACACACAAATGAGAGAGAGATAGAGAGAGGGAGGGAGGGAGAATGAGAGAGATAGAGCAGGAGAGCTGGAATCAGGTTCTGGGCTCTCAAATGAAGCAACTGGAGTTTCCTAGAAGTTCCGTGTGTTTATTATATAGAGTTGAAAGAAGAGGTGGGTGGGGTTAGTGCATATAGTTTAACAAGGAGGTGGGGTTATCATTTACAGATAGACAAGGAGGCGGGGTTTATACAGCTGGATCAAGGAGATGGGTTTAATTAATTTCAGTAAGAGTAGGAGCAATCTCTGTAAAGGAGGAGTTTTCGTTTTTGTTTTTCGAGACAGGGTTTCTCTGGGTAGCCCTGGCTATCTTGGAACTTACTGTGTAGAACAGGCTGGCCTTGAATTCACAGAGATCAGGGGAGGAGTCTTCGTACTGTGACTATCCAGAGGGAGAAATCTGTCATGGACATTTTCTGCACACACCATCAACATCTATACACAGATCGGAAGAAAGGCTTTTTCCTCTGAGCCTCGCCTCAGGGGAGAAGGCTTTGCCATTTTCTCCATGTGTCTGAGGCTCTGCGGTCCTTGGCGTGGCTGTGCCATGTTAATAGCACACATTCACTCAGAACCTTACTCCTTCTCGACGCTCTCGTCCAGGCTGGCCTACAATTCAAGACCCTGCTGCCTGGGGTCCATGAATGCTGGAGTCATAGCATGTAGCTTGAATGTGTGGCTTCAGAGCATCGTCACAAACCTGAGAGAGCAGTGTCACTGACTCCCAGGTCAGAAGGTAGAATGTCACCAGACTTCAAAAGCCCCTACCCCTCAAAGTAGTTTAGGCTGGCCTGAATGAACAGATCTGTCTGCCTCTTTCTCCCAAGTGCTGGCATTTATGGTTTATGCCATGATGCCTGGCTGCATATTTATTTATTTTAGTTTTAGTTTTGTTTTGCTTTGTTTTGTTGAGACAGGGTCTCTCTACATAGTCCTGGCTGTGCTGGAACTCACTATGTAGACCAGGCTAGTCTTGAACGCACAAATATACAACTGCCCATATCTCTCAAGTGCTGAGATTAAAGGTGTGAGCTATCATGCCCAGTTACCTTTATCATTTTTTAAAATCTAATTTCAAATACTTAAACATTTTATTTTATGTGTATGAGTGTTTTGCTTGCATATATGTCTGGAGACCAGAAAAGGTGTCAGATCCCCTGGGACTGGAATTACTGCCAATTTAGAGCCTTCATGTAGGTGCTGGGAATT